TTTCCCCGCAGGTGTGTCGAGCACAAGGCATGTTTCAACCAGAGTCCCAGTGTTGCCTAATTAAAAGTTGATGTTCAAATTGCACACTTAAAGGTGTGGTACCTACTTGCATTATGTAACTTTTTTTAGGACCTGGAAAACTTCTTGCAAAGGTACCTGGCTTATGTGTTTGCCAAAACCCTTTTTTGGCCTGTTATTTACCCTGTTTACTGCTGCTTAGATGACACAGTTTAATATTGAGGTTTGATATTCTTCCTAGATAAGTTTGCAGAGTTCAAATTCAAGTGAGGGGAAGTCATTTTTGGGGTATAACTCCTGTCCTAATTCACTTGTCTGGCTCAGATGTAGTCACCCCAGCCTTGGATGCTTCTTGAATTTCTCATCGAGAAAATTCAGTTGGAATTCTTCCTCTTCCATCTACAGAGTGAAAACACAGATGGTTTCTTTTCTCTATTTACTATAAAGTAAATAAGTTAGAGCTTGGTAATCAAGAGCTTTCACAAGGAAGCACATTTGTGCTTCTGTGATGATGCTGAGAATCCTAAGAAGGGACTACTTGCCTTTGTGATAAATTCAATCAGTACATGACCTATTGCAAGTGAACTCAGGTTCAGTTTTTGTTCAGCAGCATCCTTGTAAGAGTTCTTCCTTAATCCCAGCAGCCTGACACAGTTCTGGAGAGTTGACTGTAGTTCAGTCTTAAAATAATAATAATCATAATCATAATCTTTAGTTCTGCATTACTGGAGGGATTAAAACCTGCAGTTATGAAGGACAGTGATGGCTTGAATCTGGAAGATAACCTGCGTGGTAGATATGATACCGTGCCGTGTGGCAGCGTGGAGCTCTGCTGGTTACTCCCAGAGTAAGGAATTATCATCCAACTTGGTCTCTGATAGGAAACTTTATTAAAATGCTTCATCTGTTGTGGTTTCTTGTCCTCTATTCTGCTGGTCATTTGCTGTGCTCAGGGGCAGTACCTGTATGAATGGGATCACACAGCAATGCCATTATAAATTAACTTCCCTCCAGTGATTAATCCCTGGACCTGAATGCCTCTGTCCGCAGACTCTTCAAAGAGTTAGAAGAATTGAAAGTATCTTTTCATAATGAAGGTGTGGTTGGTTGATACTCACTGTGGATAATGCTGTAGGATTTATTCTGAACTTGGGAATAATTTAACTATCATAAATGTGTCTATTTATGCTTTAAAGCTTAAATATTAACTGGCCTAAAAATAAAATGTCCGTTGCGTTCTTAGCATAGTTGCTTAAAGATGGTAGTGATTAAAGCTTGCAACACTTAAATCTAGATTTTGGTAAATTAACTGGACTTCAGAATGTAAACTATTGGGATCAAGTGTGCCAGTTATTTAAATAACTTTTTGCTTTGTTTTTAGGGGGAATCTGTAAAGTATTTCTTGGACAACTTGGATAAGCTCGGAGAACAAGTAAGTTGTGGGGTTTGTTTTTTTTTTTCAGTCTTGAGTTTTAAGTAGTCTTTGTGATCTCTGGGTTTTAAACAGATGAAATGTAATTAATGACTCCTCAAAGAACTTTATCTTTAGTTAACTTTATCCCATTATCTCAGCAATTCATCACTGACATGTCAAAAACACAGAGCAATGCAAGGACTAAGAGACTTTCTGGAAAGAAAACTTCTGTAAATATTGAACAAAAACCAAGTTACAAATGCCTGTCCAGTCAGACTGTTAAAGTAGCACTTCAGCACGAGCTGATATCTAAAAATGCCTGCTTTTGTTTTTTCATATTCTGTTAGGAACACTAAGTTAAATGAGTGCACAGGTTATTGGTACCTTTCTGTGGTATCTACTTGAAAATAAACTTGGTACAGAATAAAATCTGTTTTCTCTGGGGAAAAAGCTGAAACTTTTGTAGAATACCTTTTGGTAGAAATGCTGATTACTGCTTGAATAATGAAGTCATATGCTGATAGTCATTAGTTGTATATTGCAGAAATGGCATGTGGAAAAACTGCTTTTCCAATGGGATGCTGGCTTGAGCTCCATGGGGAAGCAGTTTCTCCATAGTCATTTCCAGCTGATGGCTAACAAATGATGAAGGAATCCAAACCACTTCAACTGAATCCTGTTACATCATGCTTAATTTCATTTTTCTATTTCTCTTTTCACAGATAAAAATTTCATTTTAAGCCAGGCTATTTTTCTGCTTTGAACTATCATTTTTCTAACTAGAGCGCTGGTGTTCATCTTGCTGAATGAATACGCTTCCCAGATATCTTGCTGGAGAACTCCTGCACTCGCTCTCTCAATTTGCATTTGTTCTTGAGTTATGAGGCAATAGGAGAACTGCACTCACTTTAATGAGCTGCTAAACTTTCTGCCAACGCTGGATTTCTCATGGTCTTTGAATCTAACACTACTTAATTTTGAAGGTGTTTTGTTGGGGTCTTTTTTTTTCCCCCTTTACCACATTTGGGTAAAGATTTTTGCAGCTTCTTTTTCAAAGTTCTTTATTTAGAAACTTTGGTCCATTCTCTGATTAAAACATGAAACTTGAAGTCACTAGGGGTTATTTTTTATATTTTTATATACAAGTATATTGTACATCTGACATGGCTGTGGGAACGTTGAGCTCTGAATTACAGAATTACAGCTTTTCTGGTTGCAAGTTGGTTATGGTGCTGAGATACAGAGGGACTCTTCAAGATCTGCTGTTGTAGAAAATGTGCTAGCTCAGTTTTAATACCGAGTGAAAGATTTTATAGGTTCTTCTGGTTTATTCTTATCTATCTGCAAGATTTATCTAATGATTATTACCCCAAACTGTATTAATATAAGTATTTTACTGTTCTTATCTGTTATCTGATACAACTGGGCTGGCCTGCAACTGAATTGCTTAGAAACAGATAGACCCACGATTCATGTGCCTCTTGCCAAAAGGGAGCTGATGATAACAGCACGTTGGGAAAAGAACTTAATGTTCAGATTTAATCAGATCAGCAAAATAAGAGTAGCTGGCTGCCATATACATGTGGGATCAGCTGGATTCCTTGCAACTGTTTGTTGTTATTTCAACTGCCAGTGCAAGCTATATGTATTCAAAATATCCCAGAGAGACATTGCTTTGCATGTTATGAAAAGACTCCAGATAAATATAACAAATACAGAGAAAAATCTTATTACCCTTTAAAGTTGCTTCTTTTAATCAGACAAGGGGGTGGCAGCACGAGTCCGTGGCTCAGTTTGGAGAGAACATAGTACTGCTTCAGCAGTTCAACTCTCCTGCAGATTGAGGTGGTGCAGGTTTTGTATGTGTCATAGGACTAGAGCAAAAAGTGCAGGGTGGGTAAGCTGTGCTTCAGAGAACTGCTTTGTAATTCAAGCCAGGATAAAAATCAGTGCCTTAGTCATGGGCAGCTTGAATAAAGGAACCTGGGAATTCAGACAAAACAGGCTCTCTCTCTAGATAGTTTCACTTTTGAGCTTCCATAGTGAAGCAAAGTGATCCTTGAGTTTTTGGAACATTATACTCACTTCATGATTTTTCAGACGGTGTTTTTAAAGGCCGTGGATCAGACTCGATCATTTGCCTTAAACTTGGAATAACAATCTATGAATTTCCATGGAATTGTGTGTTTGTGCCCTTCCCCACCCCGGTTTGTTAGTTGAATCAGACTTTCTGGACCACATCTTTATAAGCTCCATAGCTCCAAGCTTTATAAGCTCCAAGTCTGATAACTAGCATCATCAAATGAAGATCACAGAACATTTACTAGGAGGACACTAAAATTCCAACCCTGTAACCTAAATTGTTCTCTGTGACCTTGTGAGAAATGCTGGGAAAATGTAAGGGAGAGTTTCTAGAACAAGTGAATAACAAAGCTTTCAACTTCAGCGTCAGCCAACTGTCTGTTAGAGATGCACTTTTTAAATAGCAGAAAGACTTGGACCATGTGCAAAAAGTGTAATTCTAAGAATGAAGAAACCCCACTAGGAGTCTTGGATTTCACATTGTGGAAAGCTGACTAATAAGAATTCCTCTTCCTGTTAGCATCTGCATCTGGTGGTGATGACTGTTTATGTAACGGTCACAAAACAGTAAAACCCCACGTATCTTGCTGAATTCTGGGGAAAAGGCAGGCTGGAGAACTTCAGCATACTGCTGTCTCACCTGCTCTCCTCGGCTCTACCACTGGGAAAAGGCTGCTGTCCTCACCTGCCTCTTTCTTCTCCTATTTTACTAATTCCACAGTATGTTTTGGACAGAATCAGGCTGTGTGAGCTCACAGGTGTGGCACACAGCTAACAGAAGAGAGACTTTTTGGACTGATACAGCTGGATGCAGAAGATCTACGGCACAAGCACAGCATTATGCTTTTCTGGCATAATTGATTACCTTCAAAATTAGTTAGTGGAGCAGCTCTGGTTTTTTTCTAGAAGCAGCCATGCAGTATGCATGAGAACATGGGAGGAACTGAGTGCCCATCAGTAACTGTGGTTACTGATTTGAGAAACCTGTTTTAGACCCCATTTGCTGCATTGCAGTGTTGGCAGCCAGCTTGTTTCCCAGTTTTATTACAGTAATCTGAAATTAATTAATCTTAAAGATCTTTTCCAACCACTACGATTCTGTGATTCTGTAATCCAGAATGAGGGAAACTGGCATGAGGAATTGATGATACACCTCTAAGGTTGTTTATGGATCCTTGTCAGGTGACAAATGGAAAGCTTCAGTTCTCTGGGGTACATGTTTTGATTTAATATTGAGTGTGTTTGCTGCTTGGGACTCGAGATCTTTCCAAAATGCTTCAGTGATAGCATTTAAATATACATACGTGTGTATATTTATTCAAAGCCTCGTGCTGTTCCTCTGCAAGCTTTTCTCTCAATTGCAAGTAAGCTGTCATCACCGTGCTTGTGGCTTGATCCTAATCATCAAATTCTCCTTTATTTTTATTTCTTTAGGATTATCTTCCCTCACAGCAAGACATACTGCTGGCACGAAGACCCACAAAAGGGATTCACGAGTACGACTTTGAAATAAAAAACGTCCCTTTCAAAATGGTTGATGTAGGTGGCCAGAGGTCAGAACGGAAACGTTGGTTCGAATGTTTCGACAGTGTCACATCAATACTCTTCCTTGTTTCCTCAAGTGAATTTGACCAAGTGCTTATGGAGGATCGGCAAACGAATCGCCTTACGGAATCCCTGAACATTTTTGAAACAATAGTCAATAACCGGGTTTTCAGCAACGTCTCCATCATTCTCTTCTTAAATAAGACGGACTTACTTGAGGAAAAAGTACAGAAAGTGAGCATCAAAGACTATTTTCCAGAATTTGAAGGGAATCCCCACTGCTTAACAGATGTTCAAAAATTCCTGGTGGATTGTTTTCGTACTAAACGCCGGGACCAGCAGCAGAAGCCCCTCTACCACCACTTCACCACTGCTATTAACACAGAAAACATCCGGCTAGTTTTCCGTGATGTTAAGGATACCATCCTTCACGACAACCTCAAGCAGCTTATGTTACAGTGATGTGCAAAAAGACATTTTTATTTGAGTAACTTGTGTTTTGTTTGGTTATTTTTTTGTTTGTTTTTTTTTTAACTAGAAGTTTACAGCAGGAGTAAAGAAATCCAGATCCTGTCAGACTTCTTGATACGTGGCTAAAAGCTGCTGCTGAACACATTATTGCCAATTTCTGCAGAAATTCAGGCTTAATCTCTTCCAGTGTAGCTTCAAGTTGACTCAAGTTGTCATTTTATAGCAGACCTATGTCTAAGTTACCTGTAAAGTCATAAATTTGACCTTTTACCAACATGTATATTATCCTAGAAAATTCATTCCACCTTCAGAATTCCAAGTCCAAACTTTGGTGAAATTGTTGCAATTATTAGACTGTGGCAGTAATTTTGGGGTGGGGAGGGGGAGAAACTTTTCACATCTAACTTAATTATGAAGACTGTGATACCATAGCTGACTTATGATTTCTCAGGTCTATTGTTGGTTAGAAATCCTGTAAATCCCTTGCTGGAATCATTTATTTGAAGCTTAGGGTTCCTGGGTATAAAATACTTCCTGTTTTAAGTATAAATTCCTGTTCAAATAGAAATCTTTGCATGAGGTTTGACTAAGAGATGCTTTCAAAATACTTTGATTGGGAGCTTCAGCCATACCTGGCAGGAAGTACCGGCACAGTACGTGGTTTCACTCTCTTGCATTGTCCGTACATCTTGGAGCCGTGGCAAAGCACAGAGCACGATGATATACAGTCCTCTTGAAATTCTGATGTGGGAAAGGGGAGAGCAAACCAAACTTGTATTTCTTATCTTCACTAACCAGATGTTACATGTAGGTACCTTACCTGTTCTTGAAACGCTTTGATATAGCACTGGTTTATTTTTTTTACTTTCTTCCTGACTTCTTAACAACGTGCCTCATCTTAATCAGTAAGTGTTTGGTGATGGATAGAAGTACTCGCAAACCTAAGTGCCTCCTTGTGTTCTGTCCTCTTAGTGGCCTTATGTGAGTGAATGTGTTCCCAGCAGAGGCCTTGTGTAGCTGACACCATGAAGATGAACGTTTTCTTCTGGAGAATAAAAAGAACATGGCACAGCAGAACGTGCTTCAGCTGATGAGGTTCTTTCTGAGACTTTCCAATTGGGTCTAGCAATCCTAAGTGTACTTGAGCCAAATATGTTGCACAGCATACTCCAGACTGCTGCTTGTGACTAAGAATTATTCTACCAAAAGTTCCATTGCAGTTCAATGTTTTGGGGGTTTTTTTATTATTATTTTTTATTTTTTTTTAAGGGGGTTGTTACTGTTGCCATGTGATTAAAATATTAATTAAATAGTTCTTGCCCAGAAATCCTCATACACCACACAGCGTACTACAACATGAGAATAAGCTTGTGAGCTTATGCTTTAAAAAATAGCATCTCTACCAAGTTTCCCCCAGACTTTAGTGTCACGTAGGCAGTTCAGCTTGTCCCTTTGCCCCGTGGAACTGGCCAATTCCTGTGGATCATGATTCTGGCCATTACTTTATTAAATGAATTTAGATTAACATACCACACACGTGGCGAGTGGTGTGACACAATATTCTCACTGCTTGGAGCAGTGTCCCTGCTAGAACATAGGAAAGCTGCCTATCTTCTGAATTTAGCCTTTTACTTACTGTAATTGTAAGTTGTATTAATAACATCTCTGTACCTCGTTCTCCTGTCAGTAGAAGGGGAATAGACCTCTATTTTTTTATGTCATCCAATGAATAGTCATGGATTAGTCTGCAATTTCTGCGGTAAGGCACTATTTTGGGAGGAAAGAATTCTGAAGAGAGCTTGGGAGAAGTTACAGTGCACAATCTAAATATAAACAGAAAGTCTGGGCATAAGATTGGTGTCAGGAGGATTAAAATAATCTTTAGAGGGGGGATATTTAATGTAGATTTGCCTCTTTACTAGACAGGGATAGGATTACTTCTGGTTTGATATCTTCAGGTCATATGTGAGCAGTTCAAGAAGGATGATGAACTAGAGACCTGAGAAAAGGCTAGTGAGGCTATTTAAAGGATTGGACAACGTGCCTGTAATGGGAGTCCAGACGTTCTCCATTTCACTCTTTGGAGAAGGATGACAGGTTGATTTGATGGAGCTATAAATGCTACGTGAGCAAACGACAAACCTCTATCTAGGAGCCTCCAAATCCACCTCTGGAAAGCAGAAACTGAACAAATCCGAGCCCTTGTTAGTCAACAAGAGGAGTAGTAGGTTTGGGTTTTTTTTTTTTCCATTGCTGACAGTTGCCTCAACAAGTTTCTTTTTATTTTTTAAAGAGACTTATCTCTGCTCTGTTTAAAATAATTAATTTGGAGAGGGTCTGTAGCATGTGTTTTGCAGGATGTCAGACTAGGTGATTGCAGAAAAGACTAAAGACTGGATAGCAGATAATACAAAGTTTACCAGGAATTTGTCTAAACAAATTTATGGATGTAAAATGTTGATGAATTTTGTGTCGAGGGACCTGTTAATTTACTAAAGATCCTCAAAACTGATGTCAGTCCAAGGATACAGTGAGTATCACCAAAGCTCTGGGCACTTCTGACGTTGGCTAAAGTGGGGAAAAATATTTCACAGGCTTCTCCCCTGAAACAGCACAAAAATTTGCCTGTTTTTAATCCTTTCTGATCACTTTTCCTGTGAACACCAGGGCCTGTAAGATACCAAGGTGGACCCTGCAATGTTGGGGCCCTTCTGACAAAGTAGGTCCTGGTAGATAAGCACTATATGAATCTCAGGCAGAAATGAATTATTTTAATGAAATGACTGAGTCAAATCACTCGTGTTTCCCACTCCCAGTCCTTTAGAAGGGGGGTGGGGTGAGGCAACTCACCTTGATGTCACTGTTTACATGGTTCCTATGTTAACAAACTGGGTAAACAAACCCAATCAACATTGGGCTTTTCCATCTTCAAACTTCCTCTTTGTTAGCTGCCTAAAAAGGAGCACAGCGTGTACTGTTGTATTTCTTTTTAGATTTGGTTTCTAAATATTATTTCTTTTTAGCAGGATATAATTTAGTTACAAAAAATGATGTTTTGAACAGACTTTGATTTTTTTTTTTTATTTTTTTTTTTAATCCTGAAGCAAAACAGATGAGTCACAGCTGGCAAGTAAGAGTGAAGCTTGTTCATGTAAACCAGCCTGTGGTACAAGGTCAGGACATATTTCAAATGAAGGTGGGAAAAGAGGTAGAAAGAAAAAAAATCCAAGTTTCCCCAAGTTTTCTTAGTTCTCTTGGATGGAATGAGCTCTGTTAAAAAGATCACTGACCATATGGAGATATACCACTGTCTTGTACAGCCTTCCTGTACTTGAAGGTGAAATTGGTGTTTTAGTGACTGTTCCCTGCTGCAGTGTGTTAAACTCAAGTCGATTGATACCTGAAAACTGTGGCTGTTCATCAGGGCTTTAAAAATTTTACCTTTTTTGTTTTGTTTTAATATATATATTGTATGTGGGAGCGTAAGCCATCAGTTTGTGTAAAACTCAAGCTTTCTTCTAGAATATCTGCTCTTAAAAAAAAAAAAGAAAGAAGGTCAGGTGGGTTCATTGATCTCAAAGGCTGTATATTGGACTCATTTGTCTAGTCAGTAGCTTTAAATTTTGCCCATCAGAATTATTCCAGCAAAGTGCTCAGATCAGGTGGGTGTTTCAAGCATTGTGACACTTGGCTATTAATAGTCGTTACGATCAGTCCCAGCCAGCTTGGTCAATCTGCATCTGTTCCTCACGTGTGGGGACAGCTCACTGCTCAGAGACTGAGGACTGTGCGCGTTGGATGTGTCTGTTGCCATCAGAAGATCTCTCTGGTTATTATTTCTCTTTAAGGACGGTTACAGATGGTTCATTTTCCAACAAGAACATTTCCTGTTTCAAAACCATCAGAAGTTTCATGCCATAGCGAATTGTTGACGAGTTTCACTTTACAGGTTTTGTCTCTTTGATGGTACCATTAACATAGCTGTTTGGTTGTTGGTTTGGTTTTTTTAATTACCCAGCATTGCAATCCAGTGCCATTTTGCAATTTTCTTTGCATCGTACTTGAAAAATAAGTTGAATTGCAGACTATTTAAAACCGCTTTCCTGCGCTTTCAGTAGCAGTGAGAGCTTACCTTTACGTGAAGCCTTTATGTAAAAAAAATATATATTTTGTAACAACCTCATAGATCTTTAACAAAACCAAGATTTGTATTAGCTTTGTATAAATGTTTGTGGCTTACAATTTTATATGTTTAACTTTTTATAAACTTTCCAGGGACTACTTTTTATTGTAAATTTTATTTTTGTTTTTTCTTTCTCCTCGCTTTAGTTTAAGATTGGCAATAAATTATTTCTAAGGGAGGTCTTAGAAGAAAAAGCATCACTTCCTTTTTATAGAACGGTTAAAATTTGATTAATAGTTAATAAAACCTCTTACACTTGCTTGTACATGGCTCTGTACATACTCTCCCAAAGTGTTGCCTTTCAGCTATTAATATTTGCCTTGTGTACAAAAATTACTGACGATGAATAAACATATACAGCCTCATCTTGGTATTAGGAAATGTTATTATTTATTTTCATATTAATAACATGTGGAGGCAGCCAACCGACATTTTTTTGTTGGTTGACTGAAGCCAACTGTTTAACTCCTGCCACATCTTGTCTTTCAAATAAAATATGTAACAGAGTTAAGTCTCTGCTCTGAAGTAAGCTCTTTCCTAAGAGGGTTCATCCAGATTCTTGCTCAGCCTGAGTACTTCTCTCCAGTAGAAAGGCAAAAAGAAATCACTGACTTGCATTTGACCACCAGTCTGGTGCTCAATATTTAAAATATTGATGACACTTGTGCGTGTTCTGGTGTTAAGTGGCAAGTTCTCTGTATAAATTATGTATCTCTCTATTGCTGAGTTAGATTTTTTTTTATTATTATTAATTTTTTAAAACTATTTTCTGAAGAAGCCAGCCTCTGCCTCCTCTAGAAATGGATCCCTGGCTGTTGTGCAACCACCTGCAATATGAAGCAATGTTTTGCAGCAAAAACATTGATTTCTCTTTGTTGGTTTTTATCAACCTGAAAATGTTTCATTTTCCACACCAGCCCTCAGATTTGGCTGGCGTGCTGTGGACACTGGATCTCTGAAAATACTCAGACCAAGTCATACTTGTTGGTAGACTTAGTGCTCAACATTTAGTATTTGTCTGGATAATCAGAATCCACAAAA